TAAACTAAGTATCAAGGAAATAATGGAAAAAAGGTGGATAAAGAACCAATCTGGTACTCCAATGCACAAATTCCAAGCAAGGATAAAAGGAAACAAGAGTGAAAATTTTGAAATGGAGCAGTAACTTCAAAATAGTGAATGCCAGTAAAATTAAAAGTCTTTACAACGATTTAGATGATATAAATAAAAGTGAGAGTCTAATTGACTGGAATCAGTGGGATCAAGGAGTTGAATGCAACTTACAAGTATGAGGAATAGTTTTGCGAACAGAAAGCAAGGGTCAATTAGTTAACATAGAGACAAAAACACCAAGTTTTTTCATGCTCAAACAATTCAAAGAAGAAAGAGGAACAAGATATACAAGCTTACAAGATATGATTCCAAGTGGCTAAATGCATTGAGGAATATTATGAAAAGTTGTTCTCAACTAAGGGTTCTGAAGAGGGTGAAAGGTTGTTTTAAGACATAGCTCCTGTCATAACAAATAAAATGAACTCTGAATTTATGGCCTCTATCAGAGATGAGGAAATCACGAAAGCCTTATTCAGTATCAATCCAAACAAAGTATCAGGCACAAATGGTATGACCTCTCTTTTCTTTCAAAATTTTTGGTATCTCATCTAGTCTGAATTATTTGAAATTGTTAAGAGCTTTTTTTAGTCTGGTAGGCTTCTAGAAAGTATTAACCACACTTTTGTTATCCATATCCCTAGGATTTAAAACCCTGAAAAAATCTCCCATTTAGACCAATCCTTTTGTGTAGTGTCACCTATAAAATTATCTATAAGTTGCTAGCAAAACGGCTGAAACCTTGTCTCATTGTCTGTATAAGTGATAACCAGACCGCTTTTGTTCCTAATAGGAAAATAATGGACAATGTGATCATCAGTCATGAAGTCATTCACTACCTAAATAGGAACAAAAGTGGCACTAATTAATATATGGCTCTAAAACTTGATATGAAGAAAGCTTTTGATAAAGTGGAATGGAAGAGCGTGAGTCAAATCATGATTAAGCTGGGTTTTAAATCCTCTTTTGTGAACTAGATTTTATCTTGCATCTCTTTTCCTTCTTTTTCGTTTTAATATAAACGAATAATCTTGTGGGTTTGTTACACCTTCTAGAGGGATTAGATAGGGGGATCATTTGTCCCCCTATGTTTTCATTATTATTTCAGAAATCTTTACCTATCTTATAAAACAAGAAACCCAAAAAGAAATCTTAAAGGAATTAAAATCTCAAAGTCTGGACCTAATCTCTTACATTTGTTATTTGCAGATGATACTCTGCTCTGTGCCAAACCTGAACCAAACAAAGACAGTTCTCTGATCTCCATCATCTCAAACTACCAAAAAACTGGTAGGCCAAAAAGTTAACCTTAGCAAATCCTCCATATTTTTTCAGTAGAAATACTCTTGTCTCTGTGCAAGACTCTATTTTTCATATTCTCCTACGCATAACCCCTCAAATATATTCCAGATACCTTAGGCTACTTCTAGGTATTAGACATAAAAAAATTGAGACTTATTCGTTCATTGTTTAGGCAGTTACAAAAAGAATTGTAAGCTAAAAAAATAGGTTTTTATCTGTTGCAGGAAAATAGGTGCTTTTGAAGGCAGTCCTTAATGCTCTGTCTGTTTGTGCAATGTCTAGTTTTTTAATCCCAAAAGCAACTTGTGTAAAAATCACAAATTTGTTTGCTACTTTTTGGTAGAACTCACGGAACTCTGAAAGTAAAGGACTGCATTGGAAACTTTGGAAGCTGTTGACTCTGCCTACAAATAAGGGAGGTATTGGCTTTCATGACATCCATCTGATGAACAAGGCTTTGATCACCAAGCAGCTCTGGAGGATTCCAACTCAACCAAACCTTTTGGTCTGTAGATGCTTAAAAGCTAACTACTTTCCATGGGACAAGTTTTTCTCAATCAAGCACAAGCAAGAAGAGCCTTAATTATGGCAGTGCTAGCTCAAGGCAAGAGATACCTTCCACAAAAGGCACTATATGAGGTGCATGATGTAAACTCTATCAAAATCTTTGAACGCCCCTGGATCCCTGATCTGTCTGGTTTCATTCTGAAGGCCAATATGCGATCCAACATGATATCACTTGGGTGAGGGATATGGTAGATGATACAGGTAGACACTGAAACAAGGAGCTTATTCAGAGTATCTTCACAGAGAATGAGTAAGAAGCCATTTTGAAGATTAGGAGTCTAAAGTCAGAGGAATGGGACATATCAGTTTGACATTGTGGGAAGAATGGAAAACACTCAGTTGCATCTTCTTATGATCATCTTATCAATGAAAGATAAAAGATGCTGGATGTAGCAGAAGCAAGCATAGGGTAAGTAGAATCAAGAGAAGTAAGGAAAAGACTTTGGAAGCTGAAGATTAACAGGAAAATTAAAACACTTCATCTGGAAATGTTTGAATAATGCCCTTCCAGTCAATACCAATCTATTAAAGAATGGAGTGAAGATGGATACTCTTTGCAAAGCTTGTGGAAAAGCCCCTGAATCAATAAAACAGATGTTCTTTACTTGCTCCAAAGGTAGAAGGATTTGAGAGCTAGCTCTTCTGACTTAGGATGACACTGAGCACCTCTCTAACAACATCAAACATTGGTGGAATAAGGTATGCTCTATCACATCTTATGCTACTTCTGAAGCAAGATTGCAGTTCACTACATATTTGTTGTGGTGGATGTGGAAAGCTAGAAAAATATGGTGTTCTAAGCAACCTGAAGGACTGAGATTGCAGTGGTTAATGTGGCTCTAGAAGAGTCGCTGGAGTTTGACAGAGTTTAATCTGGTTTTATCTTGTTCTTGAGAGTGTTGAGCTACTTTGTTGTGGGTAGAGTAGTTGGTTTGGTTGGTTTTACCTTTTCTTGTTGTGTGCCAAGTACAACCTTGTCGTTTAGTTTCATCGTTTATTACTTTTGTGGAATTAGGCTAGAGTTCTTGACCAATGGCTTAGGGGGTGATTGGATATAGTTTCTACAGTAAAAAAACCAATCAAAACTCCAATTAAACTCAATTTTAACCCAACCACACTACCTCTAATATTATCAATATAATTAAATAATATCAACCCGTCATTCTTACACATCAAATCAACTTTAATTCACTATTCATTTACTCACATAATTTTAACTAACCATCACTTCCAATCATTTTTTTCCTACTTTACATCAAATCAACTTTAATAATTTTGTTTAAATATTATTTTAATACAACAATGCTCACCTACCCACGGTGGGCACATGTTAATATGCCCACCGCTTATGTGGCACTCATACATTGGTGATGTATTTTTTTAACATATTAACATCACCAATGTGTGCATGCCACATAAGCGGTGGACATATTAACATGTGCCCACCGTGGGTAGGTGAACATTATCCTATTTTAATATATCAACTAACAACTAACCATACTACATTTTTTTCAAAATTAACTATAATTAAAAAAAAAACTAAATAAAACTAGTTGAATCCATAAACAATTACCCCTTAATTTTCTTTTGCTTTGGTTGTGCAAGGCACTTTTCAGTGTTCCTTTCCTTCAACCGGTTGGTTGCTTATAAGACCATCTTTATCCCCAACCTAACACAACCCAACCTAATAATTAAAAATTATTTCTCTCTTCTCCACATACACAACTCAATCTTCCAACCTAATTAATCATTATCTCCAACCCAACCCAACCTAAATATTTATAATAATTTAATTTATTTAAAAATTATAATTTTATTCCAAAATATATCAAGTAGTCTCTATTTGTAGAGAATAAAAAAAATACAAATTTCACTATCTTTTTCATTTTTTTTAAATAAAAAAAATACACTTATCCAATCAAAATGGGACAAGTGTCCTATTTTCAGGTCGCAACCCAAGGTCACAATCTTTCCTTCTTTTTTCTTTTTGTTTTTAATTGGTGACTCACTAAGTTGGGTCACGGTTAAAGTTAGTCTAAGACTAATTAGCCTTTATATTTGTAGATTATTTGGTTTATATTTGTAGATTATTTGGAGTTATAAAATGTA